GGGATGTGTGTGGTCGGGGTTGTGTTTGGTGTATGAGTGATGGGCATAGACACTGCTGTTACTCGATGTGGGGGCGGCGTTGGGGGGTTGGGGAGGGGGGGGGGGGGGGGGGGGGGGGGGGTGTCTATGAGTGCTGGCCATAGAAGTGGATGGGAGGTGTAGCTACTGGCAAAATGCTCGGTCTTTGCGTTCGCCGGCGCGCCCCCACCGGCAGCCCCACCGTAGTCCCTGACCACCGCAAATTAGGGCGGGGGGCAGCATGCATCCCCTTGATTATGAGAGGTAACTATGTTTGCAGGGTTTCCCTGTATAGGCTTCAGAGGGAAGTAATAAAAAAAAAAAGAAAGGACAGGGGTGGAGCAGCTGTACATCTGTCCTAAGTTTCCTGGAACAGGAACTACTCAAAAAAAAAAAAAGGAGGTAATCAATGCTGTTGTCTCAGGGTCAACAAAAAAAAGAAAAAGAAAAAAAATGTTGCTGTGTCAGGGTCTGTTGACTATAACAAAGGGAAACATTGAGTGTGTACTTGATGTAAAGGACACTGGACCCGATTTCCAGTCATATAAATGATAATAGTGCAAGAGATAATAATAATAAAAATAATAATGACACGAAAATAGCAGAGAGCAACATATCAGAGGGTATACAAGGACCCCAGTCCTCTTACATGCAGCCACCACCCTTTTTCTGAATTGTCAAATGAAGAAAAAGAAAAATGTGCCTTACGGTTCAGGCTCCGTTCTATTCTTGGGGTCATCTATCCAGTTCCTATTCGCCGGCAAGTCATGAAAACCCAGTGCGATCCACTCTGACACTTCTGTCTGGCAAGGCCAAAGCAACCCCTCAACAGCATTGATTGCTCACCACTATCTTTGACGTTTGGGTGGTTGGTCTCGAAATTCGAATTCGGAGGCCACGAGCTGCAGATGAAAAATATCAGCGGCTGCCTGGTGCCTGTTTTTTTCGGAGTACCATACTTTTGCGACTTGGCGTCCAATGACAAAGGTAGTGGTGGTTAAGAAAAAGACCTTAAAAAAGCATTGATTGCTCCTGTATGAGGAGGATTGACAGTCGGGTAAGCATCACCTCCTTCTTAGGATGTTTTCAGCGTTAAGAAAAAAGAAAAAAAAAGGGATCCTTTCAGCCTGTATAAGGGGCAGCCACCCCCTTTCTATCTAGCTTTTCCAAAGTAGAAAAATAAAACATGAAGTTCATGAACCTAGGGGCTGCCCCTAGGGAAAGTGTAGCAGCAGTACATGCTGAAGGCTGAGCCAAAACTGGATAATGGCCCCGGGAGTATAACACTTTGTTATAGCTGAGGGACGCTGGACCCGGTTTCCAGCACGTGTGGCTCCCCACCAATAGACAGGAGCAACCAGGGAGGCCTGCTAGATTGGGCTGCTCGTATCACCCCCTCCTAGCAAGCCGTGACTGGTCATTCAAACAAACAAACATAAAAAAAAAGAGCCGAAGGCCTATAGTCTACCCAGCTACTGCAGTAGAGATCAGGCGTAGATTGAACCAGCTGCAGGGGGAATCATCACTGTACCCTCCCATCTTTTCCCTGCTNCTTTTCCCTGCTCCCCCCCCCCCCCCCCCCCTTTTTGGGCCAGCTTTTCTTTGTCGGCGCTCTCTCAATGCAAGTGTTTCATACAGCCTTGACAGAGAATCCTTCATAGAGAAGATAACTCTCAACCTCTCAACGCATGATAAACTTGCCTCAACATAGCAGAAGACACAAGAGGGGCAATTTGCATGATAATCGAACATGTTTTTTTTTCCGTTTTACTGTTTTTTAAATCATGAAACCTCATTCTTGACTTGCCGGGGGAATAGGAACCGGACTGATGCTTCCCAGAATGGATAAGGAGCCAGGACCATAAGGACCTGTTTTAAAAAAAATATAATAATAAATTAATAATAAATTTTTAATAAAAAAATCACGAAACCTTCTGGAAAGAGCCAAATATGAGCAAGAAAAGGAATTCAATAAACACTGGGAAAAGATAGACAATCCGGTCACAGGCAAAGCTGCTGTGGCAGGGATCCCCCAATCCAAAAACCAATACGACCAGCTGTGCCAGAAGGCGGAGTTGTCCGAATTCAGCGCGTTCAGGTACTATGAAAAAAAGAGGGAGAGACAAGAGAGCAAGGAAACCCCCCAAGGATGCTGCTGGACAGAAGGACGAACAGCACCGGCTCACCCAAGAGATCACGACAGTGGCAGCTCAGACAAAACGCCTGCTCGATCAGAATGCTGACAACAGGATAGAACACAAAAAGGAATACATCACAATCCAGAAGGTTGCAGAGAACATGGCCCCCCACGTCACCGAAACAGCAATGTCAGACCACAAGACCATAAAGTCTGTCCGGCCACTGGTCCCGGTCCGGTTCAGGAACAGATTCAACGAATGGCAGGTGGCAACAGATGTCTCATTTGCCATCCCCACCCTCAGTGATGAGTGAGCATTAGCAAGGCACATCAGAGATGGCATCTCCACAGACGTCCCAATGGGAGTCTACATAGTACCTCCGCACGACACAACAGACAGGGAGAACACAGACAAAGCGATCGGGGACTCCGAGTCCTTCGACCCCATCCTTGTCAAACTCGACGAGAAGGCGAAGCTCCAAGAGGGCCTGACATGGAGAGCATGAAACACTGTTACAGCGCTTCCTTACAGTGTACTAGCAGGCAGAATGTGGCATTCTGAGCCACACGGGCCCCAGTTAGGGCCCGGTTCCAGACAGGCAGGGTAGGCGTAAGGGACGACGGTTCAGATGAGGCCCAGATGGGCCTGGACCACGGCGGTTCAGGCAGGCCTAGGGTAGAGGCCCAGGCCAAATGGCCACAAGGCCGGTACCGTTCCAGCCTAGGACCTACCGGCGGCGTTTCAGAGGCTGCCACATTTAGGCGCCAAACCCAGTTTGAATCTGGACCGTCGATTCAGATCAAGGGTCCAGGCTGGTAGGTACCAGCAGGTAGGAGGCCGGCCCAGCACTACAAAAGGCTGGGTACCAGCCTCCGGAGGTTAGAGTTAGTATGGACGAGGTTAGTCTTCAGGATTAGCGCAGCAGCCCAGCGTTAGCTCGATTAGCGCAGCGCTGCAGCACAGCGAGGGGCAGCGAGAGAGCAAGAGCCCAGCGGTGAGGAGATTTGCGCAGCATTGGGCGCAGCGCCAGTTATCGGCCCAGCCCCTTGCAGCACCATAGCCATTGTGCCAGGTACCAGGGAGGAAGGCTTCGCCTTCTCTCCCTCATCTCCTCCACCGCTCCTCTCTCTCTCTCTCTCTCTCTCTCTCTCTCTCTCTCTCTCTCTCTCTCTCTCTCTCTCTCTC